ACATTTGTGTAGTAATTTTAACCTTCACATTTATTTTCACTTCCAAAACAGAGGTTCATAATGTAACATGTTTGAAGGCTTTTGTGGTTGTCTTGCACTCCATTGCGAAGTTGCGGAAGAGTACAGTGCAACTCTTAGGGACACTGGGCTGGCATGAAAGCTCTGAATCATTAGTAAGTGGACCTTGGAGCTAGATTATTTTCATTAAAAAAAGAACAAAACTGTAAACATGCAATTGAAAATGGTCTGCAGCTAAAACCTGCAAATACACTGATACCCAAAATTCACACATCTGTAGACTGTTACCAGTATAGGGGTTAAGTCATTACTGACAGGGATCTTCGTGGAGGTCTGTGGGGTTTGGGGAATTCAGCTGTGATTTGGACATTGTGGTGCACAGTAGCTCCTGGGTAAAACTCAACTGACAGGTCTATTACCGCCCATCTCCTCAGCGGGCGGATATATACCCCTGAGCCAGTGATCATGACTTCCATAACAAGCCCCTCAATATCCCTGCAGCAAAAACATGCATGCAGACACACACACACACACACACACACACATGCTCACTGGTTGATTTATGAGCTTGAGAGCCTAGAGGTGGGAGGCAGCGTCGTTGTCTCCCAGACATGTTGACCAGAGGATGAGGTATCGAAAGAAGACAGGGAGGCGGGCAGCACTGTAATTATTGCACTAAATACATTAGGCTGAAAGATCCCACAGTACATCAACAGGGGATGCACTGAGAAATGATTTGGGCACTTAGTCCTAAAGCATCTGTGTTAAGGATGATTGCGTAAAATGACGGAAGTGATTCAAAGAAAATCTGATTCATAAGGTCCTGGTAACACTTGAATGCTTCTTTGGGTTGCTTCCCAATTCAAATTTTAGTTTATTGTAGGAAAAAAAACTTTCACTATCTAAATTGATGGAAAACCTTGCACTGACATGTTGCTCTTCAGAAATCATTTATATATTTTTTTTAATTTAATTTTATAATTTATTTATATTTTTGGTTTGTTACACTTCTACTCTTAGATAATGGCTTTGAAAAGGAAATAAGCAGGACTGAATGGCAAGCTTGAAAAGTTTCATTGAGTTCCATACATTTAGAATAAGGTAGTAGTATGTTTACATGTAAGGTAGTTTTACTTCAGAAATCTTGAGACATTTTTCTGCTATTGTTAGCAAACAAGTTGTGGGTTAATGGAGGGAATTTGTTTCTATTCTTAATATAAGTTTAACTGTATCTTAAGGTTTCTTTTACTTTTTTACTAAATCAAAATTAAAGGTGTAGAAATAACAAAGCAATCTCAAATACAAAGAGCGTAGTCTGAGCATAGTGTCATAGCAGTTTGCTCTTCACTGAATGAATGATTCACACAATGAATCATTCTAGTTTAGTGTAGTGTAGCAGAAGTGTCAAGGATATCCCTATACATGTCAGATCTTAAATTGAATTACAAAAAGATTCACAAAGTTAATGAGGGATATCCCTGGAGTCTAAGGTAGTGTTCATAAATTACAGCAAAAAAAAATTTGCTTGAGAAAATGCCTTCTCATTCACTTGAATGGGGCCTCTCAGTTAGCTATGGGGCGATTCATGAGGTGTCCATCTAACAAATGAAAGGTTGTTTGGCAAAGAAACTTGAACCAGGCCCAACGTTTGTACTGGCACAATGCAGGGTCATCTAGGAAAGGCGCTGCAGAGCCCAATCAAGTGCAAGCACACATACTCGAGCACAGTCTTTCTAGTGTTTATTTTGCGACTGCTGTGGCAAAAGATAAAATGATTTTTGCTGCACTGTATGTCATCTTCATCACTACTGGTTGAAAACAGTTTATCTTTAAACTTTTGTCTTTTGTCTTTTGTCTTGTTTTGATAGGCCGAAGGTATTTATGTTAAAAAATAAAAAGTGTAGTTACAAGGCTTTCGCATGACAACATTGATATGCAATTTACTCAGGTTCAAAGCAATGTTATATATTTTTTGTATTCATTCTCCAAACATATTTCTACTTTGGCGATGGTTTGTCATGTTTCCATATTCGCGAAAAATTAATCCGAGCCACATGCGGGTTGACGATACAATACGTATCACAATACAGGGCTTTATGGTTCAATCTATTGTAATATATTTCAATACTGTAAGCAATTTGTTTTGGACAATTGTCCATAGTAATAAGAACACATCACCATATGGATTAAGAACAGTTGGATCTGCATTTGTATTTATCACAGTCTCTGTAACATCCAAAGTCATAGCCCTCAGTTTATGTTTACAACACTGCTATTAAGCAGTGTATGGCAATACAATATTTAAAAAAAATAAGCAAGTGGAAGTTTGACACAATAATACATTGCATTATGAAGGTTGATGTCTGTTTGATTTGTAAATAATATGTTACATAAATGCAAATATTACACAATCAAAAGTTGCTTTTACTCGCATCTTGCTCAACAGATTGCTAGCTAAAGCAACAGACAGCCACATGCCTTACACATGCTTCTGAGAGAGGAGGCGATCCTCATGCCACTGCCGATGATGACTGCTTCTCTTCCACTGTTATGGAAGACAAAGGGGAGCATTGTGCATGTTGTAGACAGCATCCACCTTTATTGACTTAGGTAAGCACTGCTGTTACTCCTGCACTCAACATTTAGAAATAACTTCCTCTGTCATGACAGAAATGAGGGTGAAACAACGTGAGTTACGCCCACTCCCCATCTCGCATAAGCCCCCGCTAACTACCTGAGCGTACACTAAGCTGACAGGTGAAGGTGCGCGACGGATGTCTTAGTGGGTGTGGGGGAGGGGATGGCTCGGGTTGACACCCCTCCACTCCTGTGACCTGCAGCTGAACTTGGACCTGTGAGAAAATAACAGGTTCTCCAATTAGGCCGGCAGTTTTTCACCTCGCCACACAACAATTAGCCCAGAGGAGCTCACCAGCCTGTGGAGACTTGCGAAGTGCAGTTCCTCGCAGACTTGCCACCCTGCCTGCCAGCCAATGCCTCTGTTTTCACAGGGATGTTTAATAGGAAAACGTTTGCACTTGTTCATTGCAATTAACACAAATACAGTGTATCTACTCCAAAAGTTATTTTAGTTTAAGCATTTGGCGAGGCACAGCTCATTCTGCATAAACCTGGCAAGCGACAAGCCCAGTTACGAATAATCAAAGTTCATTCAAAACAAATAGCTACTATATAAACCAGCAGTTGTCAGCATAACTTCTCATAGTCATAACACCAGTTGTGTTCCTCATGCCTTTAACCAGGCAGTTGGAAGTAGTTATTCAGTATAGTTTAAACAATGGGGACAATTTAAGGTTAATGAGTAATATGACAATATTGAAAGCATTGCATTGTTTGTAGGACTTCTGTGCACACACTTTTCAAGGCTTATTTTACACATTATACATATTTCAGTTACAAAATATATACTGTTGAATCCTTAATTTGTAAAATTATATGCATTGTTCCTGACAGTAAATTAAATCTAATTCACATATGTTTATATTCACATTTGTCGTAATCACATTCACTAATTATGCTGTAATTATAGTTATGCTGCTAATTAGGCTGAAACAGAAACTCAGAGATGACTTTAGATTAAAAAAAAATAATTACTTCAACTAGTATGTATTGCACAGGTTTTTAATGAGAAAATAATATAAGGAGAGGTTTGCTGCTCAAAGTTCTATACTTGACCATTATAGCACAGAACGATGTAGAAAGCAGTTCTGACAAACTTGACGTGTATTTGCTGAGCCTCCGTCGTAGTAAAATGTTCAATCATACTTCCAAGAAGTGTGGGGGCTTCTGCTGTTGAATGCACACACAAATGAAACATACTTAGAATGTTTACAGAAGGCGTTAAAGCACAGTACACATAACTCAACGCTAACTTGTGCTGTTTGCTTTAGAAACCATCCATGTCCGGTATCAGGCACTAAAAATACACTTTAGGCTGTTCTTTGCTCGCTCAGGGTCACAGAGGAGCCCTTAGGTGTACTATAGGCCATCTTGTTTGCTGTACAGATAAAGATAATAAATGTCACAATACAGAGTGCTTAAATGCTTTGTTCTCTTGAATGTGATTTATGGCAAACTTTGACTACGGCTAATACGTCTTCAAAAGCTTCCTCAGTAATGGATCTGCCTGAACTTCAACCTGCCAGGTCTACTGTAACTGCTTGATTTACACACACTTAGCATGACGTGACAGTACATCTGAAAATTACTTGGAGAGTTATGGTAAAGGATCCTGTCAGTGACTTTAATTTGTTGTTGGACTGTAATCATTAGACACCCAAACAAACAAAAAGAAATGTGTAGCATATGCAGAGTAGCAAAACCAGCATCAGTGTGATGCATTTGACATTTGAGGTTTAATCCAGTGATAAGAATATACATTAGAAACAGGAGTGTATCGACCAAAGCTCAAAGCAATTGCACCAAATAATAAATACCAAGTGGAATTTAAATGACTGCTATTTTATTAAGTGTATTTAAATACATAAACACACCCTTGTATATAGTAAAAATGATTGTACACAAACCTAAAAAAAAACTGCAAACAAGCTTACCAAACAAGCATTATTTACATCAGAAAAATACTGCACTTTCCATATGTAACAATAACAAATAAAAATAAATCTGTATAATTCAAAAAGTGAAACTCTTTAATTACAAATCTTTGCAAGGATAGAAGGCAGAGTTGGAAGGCTATAGAGAAGTCAGTGACAGGCAGTTGAAGACAGTGTTATGTTAATGCAAGTCGAACATACTGATTGGGGTACTCATGCAAAGCCTGCAGGCTGAAAACGTCTTTGAGATTTCAAATGTTCAGCCTTTGCCGTGCATCTTTGGCACAGGCTATGATTTACTCCCTCTGAGAATCTCTGACAGCTTAAAGAGTATTACTGGCCTCATGGCAGAAAGCAGAGTCATCCCGACTCCCATGAAAGAAGAAAAAAGATCAGGGACGGCAGTAACATTATACATACAAACTATTTTAATCCAATTTAAAACAGCAGTTAAAAATACTGTTTTACATATATATCCGAAAGACCATATATTTTATACTTTATACACATTTCTACAGTATGATACAGAGGCAGAAATATTGATTTTCAGATTGAAAAAATAAAAATGCAAGCTTTAACGACCAAATAATGAACACATTTGAGCCTTAAAGCTGTAGAAGAACTCCAATCTAAGCATTGTGTTCTTTTCTAAACTCTGTCTCCAAAAACAGCACTTGTAATCGAAAATCACTGTAAAAAATATACTTGCATTTGATAGTTATTTTATCAGCACTTTAAAAGCTTTCCTCTGAGACTGACAAGGCACTGTAACCATTTGATAGTACAGTTTTTGGCAGTGAAGTGATTTATAATACATAGAGACATAGAGACAATACAGTAAGGCAAATCTTGATATTTTGGCACATGCATTATGTGAGGCAGCTTGGAGGATCAGTGGTGTGTGTGATGTTTCATGGTTATAATGCACAGTAAAGTGATGCATGAGACGTGTTTTGCTTTGACTGACCTGCTTGGATTTGACAGATTTACACTCCTTATACCAGCGACCTGCTCAAATACAGTATTTAAAGGCCACAGTTTTACCAGTACAAACAGTGTCTACGCACTTTAGCTCTTTGTATGGTACACTTTTCCAATACACAAAAAATAAAAGGCTACATTTGGTAAAGATTGGATGCCACCAATATGTTTCCAGCCAAATTCCTAAAGCAAATGGCTAAACACCACACAGGCTTTTTACAGTGATCCTGAGGCACTATTTGTTTTCAGGTTGGCATTAGTCTTTGGTTGTGTTGTTCTTGCTTAGCTGGCTGCGCGAGTCTCTGACTGCATCAGGAGCGGCAGCTCTCGCTCGGGCCCCTCCATCACAGCGGCTGCAGTTTCTGAACTGAGATCTTCAGGTTCAAGCTGAGATGCCTCTTCTCCCTGAACCAGCGTCACTTTCTCAGCCGCCCTCTTCATCCTCTCCTCTGCCTCCATCTTCATCCTGCGCTCTTCAGCTTCTATTTCCTCCGTGGTGGGAATAGAGTTCTTCTTGGGTCTCCCCTTGGGCTTAGTCGGGGCCTCGTGACCTCCTTTGAGCACCTAGAATAACACACAGACCATCTTAGTGGACTCCTCTGGTAATAAATGGCAGCAGCAGTCGAAGGTAACGCTTGCTATTATAGTAATTAAGAAAAGACGTATTGCTTCTGGCTGCCCCTTGTGCACTCATTCATCTTTAACGATTTCAGGTCTTTTTTTGTTCTCTGAGTTGTTGACCCTTCTACAAAAGTGTTTGCTCTCACTGCTGTCATCATCAGTCACACCTCACACCACACCCTCTCCTCCTGCCATACTGCTTGCCTAGTATTCGCTTCTCTTACCATTATAGTGCAAATAAGCATTGCATGAAACGGTTAGTCATCTGTAAAAATGTAATCTAAATCTATTTTTTCCTCTTCGTCCTTCCAATTATTGTTGCCTCTTACCATTTTCTTCCACTTCATGCGCCGGTTTTGGTACCATGTCTTCACCTGGAGCTGTGTGAGACCAAGTGACTGGGCCAGGTCTAACCTACAAAATCACAAACAAAAAAAAAACTGCACATCAGATTTCATGTACTTTCTGGTGATTCTGCATTAGCGTCCTGAACCTGAACAGGGTATACACCATATTATTTATATGCTGTAAACTTTCTTCACTCTTCCGGAAAAGCACCAGGTAGAATCTGTCTCTTTTCTTGTCTGTTTCTCCCACTGACAGGAAAATATATAAATTATGACATATAATATATAATAACACTAATCATGGTTTTTCAGTCTTTGAATCTCACATCAAAGCTGATTTGCTATTAGCTCGAGTTTGACACTGTGCACCTGCAGGTCAGGAAACACTGCTCGAAACAACTGTACCGAGATCAGTAATCCAACCACAGCACTTGTAGCAAGACGATTGGGGCTGTTGAAATTCTGAATGCATCCACCACATGTGTTGATCCATGACTAATAGGGCTATTGGTTGGTGCGTAATGTGATACCTCAGGAAGGGACAGATAAAGTGAACAAGGCATCCGTTTGTGAAGGAAAGGCGCAGTTATCTGGGTTTTTTAAAATGAGATTTCCTCTTCCCTGCTCTTCTCAAAGTCTTAAAGAGTCAGATGAAGGGATTCTCACCCCCACCACCCGTCAATGAAAGGAACTGACTTTCATTTGATGGTGAAAGTGGAAGCCGAGACAGAGAACAGGCATGGACAGAATCTAAAAAGCAGAGCAACAACAAACCCCTGAGATTCATGGGATTGTCTGCATAACCTTAAACCTCACATAAAGGGTGTGTGTGTGGTTTTGTGTGTGTCTCAAAAAACTCCAGACACACAGACAATCAAGCTGTCTATCAGACTTCACTAGCATACGTGCCCCAGTCTATAGCAGTTCAACAACTAGAGGCAAGGAAAAGTAATTGCAGAAAAGGAAAACACCCCACCTATTTATGGTCATTAGTTTTCAATGGACAGAAACCATACACTCACAGCAATAGAAACAGTATTTGAGTTACTCCCTCCGGGCTACTACAAGAGCGTCATTTTGTTCCATTCTCACACCTTTCACAGGGGAATCTTGGGTGTAACTGAAACAATAATGATGATGATGAAAGGGAGGATTATAAAGGCTCTAATCATTATAATTGGACGGTGCATAAAATCATTATTGCACTCTGCTATAAATAATTAAAAGATTTTTTCAGGGATATTTTTGGTTTTGGTTCCTCCCGCCCCCACTCTTAAACTCAATTCAAGACCGCAGAGGTTCCAGGCCAAAAAGAGGGAGAGAAAAGTTAAGTTATCTTTGGATCACAACAAACCAGAGTGAGGAGCACGCCACACCTTTGATGTGGGGCTTTAACGGGGGATTTTCTCTGTTGATGTTTTTCCACCAGCTGGGTATTTAATTAATTTTCAACACAGTGTCAGAATTGGATATTTTGACAGGACACAGTATTTTGGCACAGCAATCTGTTAGGGTGGTTGGTTTTGATCACTGAGTTGTGCTCAGCCTCGGGGCTTCTGCTTCAAGATGAGGCATGGCGTCTTTCCAACGGCTCCAGGCAAGCCGAGATGTGATATATTTAATAATGCATCGTGGGAGTTTTCCCCACGGATGGGATGTAAATGGAATGACAAATAAATCTGATTTACTTCAAATATGCTAATGTGTTAGGTTAGATGTGGTAAGCAGACGCACTGCAAAGAGGATACAATGTTTGAGACATCTGTGTGGAAATTTTGCATGTCTAAATGCATAAACGTACTGTACAGGAAGCCAGTTGTTCAGATTTACTGATTTACTTTCAATATGTAAAAATAAGATTAAGAGGGGTGGAGTGTACAAACATCCAATCTCTACTTAATGCAAAGGTTCACAAGCAGTTTGAAATTCCTACTGCGCATGTGAAAGAGAGCTTTTTACATCATATATAGTTTAATACTATTCTGAGTTATAATGGAAAAATAGCCTGCAGGCCAAATATAAAAGCGAGGCGTACAATAAAACTGGAAAATATAGTCTAACCTCATGTCAGGTCCCAAAAATGACCCACAGAGTGGAACTTAAGACACAGATATTAACATGTAGATTACTTCATCTGATTGTAGAAGGCAAAATGTTCTTTATATACACCTGCACATGTGTGAAATGATTGGCAGTAAATCAGTGTAATACATTTATGTTTGCTTGTGTTGGCCACTGTCCCTCTTTTCTTGAACAAGGCAGTGTTTCTTTGTTGGTGCTTTTTTTTTGCAGTTGGAAAGCTCAGGGTTAAAACGTTACTCTTGTCTCAACTAGAATGCTGAGGTAATGCTCTGGCTTAGACAAATTCACATTACATGAGACATTCCCCACAGGATAAATCAAAAATTATGATGTTAGGTTAACCACTGCTAGATAATTGCAGTTGTGGCTTTGTGAATGTGCGTGCGTCTGTGTGCATGTACTGTACTTTTGAGTGTGCTGTATGCCAGGTATGTAGGTTATCAAAATGAGTGACACTTATATGACTCTGGTAGCTTTTTTACATCTGTGAAAATAAAGAGGCCTATTACTTTAACTTATCAATGGTTTACTTTCTTTTACGTAACCTAGTCACAAAATCATTTTTGGTAGCTATGAGGGTAGCAGACATGATTTACCTTTTTTTAATTTAAATGCTTTTATGTGGTTTGTGTGTGTGCGTGCATGTGTTTACTGCCATCCTGATCTACCTTTTTTTTAAGTAATTTCCCCCTGGGATTATTAAAGTATTTCTGATTCTGATTCTGATACCTTAACCCATCCAATCAGACGTGAGATTCTCAACTGCACTGACCTATCAGGTGTGGATAAGTACTTCTGCTTCTGGAACTTCTTCTCTAGGCCCATCAGCTGCAGCTCGGTGAATATGGTGCGGCTGCGACGCGGCTTCTTCAGGCGGGGCGTGCTGCGCTCTGTGTCTGACTCGCTGCTAATGCTGAGGGGGGTCTGGCTAGGCGAGGGCTCGGAGCCTCGTGGATGCTGCGGGGAGAGCAAGGGCAGGTGCGAGGGGACCCCACCCTGAGATGACACCTGGGGGTGGTGGGGGGGCTGCCGTGTGATCACTGAGAGGAGAGGGTAGGCACGTAGTGATGAGGAGCCTGGAAGAGCAGAGACAGTGCGTCAGATGACAGAAACAGAGAACTGCAATAAAGTCCAGTGCAAACACAAAAAGAGGAGAAAGATTATTCTTTTGAATCACTGAGTTTTTAGTGAGCTCTTATGTGCTTCTCAGTCACAGTGGTTGTACGGTTATCGACCGCCTGTAATTGCTTAGACAGGTTCATTTTTAATTGCCCTGTGTTTGCTGTGAAAAGTGTTTTGCTTTTGACCTTCTTCATGTAGAGGGCTGTGATCCCAATGACGCAGACTGTGTTTTACACTGCTCCTCTGAACCCTTCAAATGAATGATTATTTTTCAGAGGTTGTTAAATACTGACTGGCTTCCCAACACAAAACCACATGCACACACTGAGCCTGACAGCATGATGTACACGCAGACACACACACATTCAAACACAGAATGAGCTGTAATAAAATCAAACTAAATCAAACACTGCTCAGCTAATAAACTTTTCCCGCTCTCTTGCAATCTCTCTCACTCTTACACATGCGCGCGGTCATATACTAAGACACACATTTTTGCTCTTTATCAGCGCAGACAGAAGCAGCAAGACGCCAGAATCAATAAAAAGTAACACTTGTCTGGAGCCGACACTGGAGCGAAGGAGGGCAGGAGGTTGGCCGAGAGGGGTGTCGAGGGTCAACCAAAGTGAATATGATATCTGCCGGAAAAATCCTCACGGCTTCAAATATAAAACCAACCCCTTAACCAAAATTTACAGTCCAACTGAGCACCAGCGCAGATTGTAATGCATGGGATCATAAGGAGTAGCAGGAAGGACACAGGGGGGATTATGGGAGTAGACGTGGGAGATATAGAGGGAGATAAAAAGCTGCAACCGAGCAGAGAAAATGGGAGGTTGTCACACTGCATGTGTGTTCCAGGTTGTCTGTGGTAGATCTGTCTCCTTAATCCCTAGACACACACACACACATATACACAATGCCCACCGGAGACATGAAGGCAGACAGGATTTTTTTTATTGCTGTTCCTTGATTGTTTTTCTTTTCCTTAAGGTCAGTAAGAAAATATGGATTTCATGAAAATGTGTGGGAAAGAAAAAGAGGAGAACACTCACAAAGAAGGTAGGTCATGCCTACTTTTATAATCTTACAGGATAGTAAGATGTTCATTCAGTTGCTTAAACATATAAATTGCACAAATCCACAATAAACCTCACTATTAGATGTAAGTCAAGCATAGAGAGCATACAAGTGTTGTTGTTATACCAGCACACATACAGGTAGGTACATTTGCTCTATACACGCATACAGACACACACACACACACACACACACACACATACACACACACCAGACACTGCCTTTGGCTCATCATGACATCATGGTAAGGCACTGAGGTCATCACTAATCCTCCAACGTGAGATTGCTGGTATTGCAACAGGTCTAGACAAGTAGATCTCTTTTCTCTGGCTGCATGCTCTTTCTTTCCATTTATACATGTTCATTTCAACTGCTCTCACTTTTTCTCTCTGCAAATCAGATCCGTACAAATGTCAGATTTTTCTGATATCAGAGAGTGGCACAAAAGGGAAGGGGAAGAGTCACTCGTCATTCAAAATGGGGAGAAAACATCTCACTTTGTCTTTGTGATTGTCAGGAAATCTCTTGTCAGCAGAGAGCTTGAAGTTGTCTCCGGACAGTCCCTCAGAGGGAGGGAGAAAGAAAGAGAGAGAGAGCTCACAGAGGGAAATGTCAGCCCTCGTGGTGACTTTCCACAGACAGCGAAGCCGTCTCTCTGACATGTTGTTGACAAGTGCCAGTGTCCTGTCAATAGTCTACAAATAAACTGTTTGAGTAGCTGCAAGAGCACAACTTAGCCCCATGCAAAAGCACACTGATACTCTTGATAATCACAGTGGAATGTAGGGACTGGCACAAGTGCTTATGGTAACCATTACAGAAGACATACCTGCTAAGAATAGATCAAGAAGAGTCGTTTGTTCAGCATTCCTTTTAATACCAAGAATTTACTCTATTGATGGTTTGGTTGTTATTACTATTACATGATTCTTAATACATTTACCATGTGTTTAATATATAATCATTTCCATTAAGTGAAGGAGGGATTTCTATTTTTACAACAACGACAAATGCCGTCAAGCAGCAACATTTAGAAGGTATACACTATTGCCCGCCCCAGCCTGCTCTTTATCATAACATCTACACTTCTTCTCCCACTCGTTTTTGTCAATGGGATGCTGAAATGGATGATTCATTGCATAGCTATGACAAGTGTACGTGCACCTTTGCACAGGTTTTGAGTATAAACTGTTAGACAGCTAGAGATCTGCTCAGTTAAATGGTTTTTGTGTTTTTGGCCTTGCCCTTTGAACACACATCAAACATTGTTGAGGTGGGGAGGGCAACAGATCATGCAGCTTCTTTATCTTTCCTACCTCATTGCTTTAATTAGAATCATTCACCTTCAGGAAATGACAGATTGGAGCAATTAAATGCCAGTTTTCAACAAATGGTAAAAGGAAGGTGTCAAGAGCGTCTTGTTGAATTTAATTGTCGTAGTATTTTCCCAGGCACACTGACAAACCTTACCAACAGAAGCTGTACGCCTAACAAAAAGTGTTGTATCTTAATCTGAAAACTGATAGCTGACTCAGCCCGTGGCATAAACTCCTTTTAGAACTGATTTATCACTGATCTGTTGTCGAGATAGACGAATCTGATGGCTGTGTGGTTGTGAAAAAATGACAGTGAGATGACAGGCAGTCAAATATTATCCCTAACTTAAGATAGAAGATGTGTGGTGCATTTTGTCTTTGTGTGTGCATACTTGCCTCTATGTGTTGACATGGGTGTAATCAACCTTCTCAAGCCTGCTTTATGCTTAATGGGAGACTTTATTGTCTGCAACGGATTAGGGTTTAAGATGGGATAAAAACCCTTTTTGCTCACTTGGATTTATTCAATAAGCCCTCAGCCAGTACCAGACCAGTACACAGCAGCCCTCAGGCTGAACACACTCCTGCCTTTTTTTTTTGTTTTCTTTTTTCATCATGCTGTCAGGTGAGATTACACCACAGTTGATCTTAATCTCTCTCACCTCTTCCAGAAAACACCACTAAAAGCCCTTCCCTGGGTCCTGCTGAGAGATGGGACTCCAAATGAAATATTGTAACCTGCCATTACGTTGTTCACTGTTCAGCACCAGGTCAGGGCTCATTCTTTCTGATCCTGTAACTGACAGGGAAGTATTAGCCACTTTTACTATACCTTTATTTCATTCCAGTTAAATAAAAATGGACTGAAAGTCACAATGAAGTGTCACAGGACAAAATGCACAAGGAAGATTATGTTGGTATGTTTGATCAACACACCAGTGATAAACAATAAAACAACCAATTAATTTTTAATCAACTCCTTCAGGCAACAATATTGGCATCATTGTCTTTCAGCGGCCTCCGCTGGTAGCTGGAGGTTATAGCATCCCTTCTTTTGCGGAATGAAGAAGTCAACTTTCACTGTTAAGGGGCCATGCAGGGGCCAGCCGCCTCTCTGCGGCCCAGGACCTGTAAGTCTGCCAGCTTCTATATCAAGCACTAAAAGCCATTGATGTTGGGGAATATACTGTGTCTCACACCCCCGCAGCTACAAATAAGTGGTGGGCACAGTGTTCTGATATGCAGGGTGGGTTACTCTATCCATCCGAACAGAGGGGTGCCAGTCATAGTGCCCTCTAACATGCACCAATCCATATCAGAGGGATGAGGGAAGCGCTTCCCCTATTTTTATCCACCCGCCGCTGTCATCATCAAATTGCAGCGGCTATTATTTCAGACTTTAGAGCAATTATCCTAATGGTTACTAGAGTGTGCAGTAGCCTTTGAGTTGTTTGGATTCGTCTGGAATTACAATTAAGAATCAGTCAAGACGCTTTGTTTTGACAAGATGATACGTGTTGTTCCAACGGAACTTTTGTCATACTATTTTGGTCATTTTTAGTGCAAGACAGCTTCTATCACTATCTATCATGCAGAGAGCTAGATAATTCTTACCATCTTACTGAAAGAGAAATGAAAGTGAGCACTACATGTACTCAAAAACAATGGGAGGAAAGCAATTATCATTGAAAGAAGCCACTTGTTTCTACTCTATTTTTCCTTCAAACCTAGCAATCAAGAGAAATCAGTGAGCAGTAGAATTAATCTTATAAAGGGTGGTATGACTAACCACACTGTAAATCACATGTTTTTGTTTGTTTCTTAGCACAAATTGACTTTGTTCTAGGTCACATACATTTTGGTGTCATATTGAGTGCACTAACAAGATTCAATTTGCAAAAGTCCAGCAGCTGCAAAACTCATTAGGGAAGGCCTTTGGGCAGAACACAAGTATTAATCAAAGTAAATGAGACTAAATAGACTAAAGTTTTCTTTGATTCTAGTTTTTTTTTCTGTCACACTGTCTCTTCAGTGACTTTTAACTACAGCCTCTTATCAATGCAGTCATCCATCAGCTTGCGCCCAACAAAAGCCCTGAAGCATCACTGACATTCACTCACTCTGTCTTTGATTTTCAGCACTAAACACTTAGCTGCGGTGATTTATAATGTAAAGCACAGAGTTAGGAAGGTGAAGTCACCGGCGCAACTTTAGGAGGAAAGATGCATAAATTAATTGTGATTAATTTACTAAAAATAAAAAAAAACAGCTTCAAACATGTAAGTAGCCTAATATATTAAGGATGCTTTGTAATCGTCACAAATATCAATATACCCATGTGCGCAGTTGTATGGGCGGGGGGTTATGGTTTAAAGAAACTAATTACAACTTTATGGCACTACACAAAAGTTCATTACACCAACACAACCGATAACACAGTGCAGACGTGTATTTCACCCGTCTGATATAGGACTTAAACTTTTTTCACCGTAAATCCACATTCCCTGATCCATGCCCAATTAAAATATATCCTCAAGTTTCAAATTCGAATTAAAAGTATATTAATAATGAAATTGATCTTATGCGTAAAAGTGTCACAACAACAAATGTCATTTTCCCAAAAAATCTGCAAATGGTCATAAATGCCTTTCAGTTACTTTTTTAAATAATAGGCTAAATTTAATTTGCTTCTTTCATAATTAGTCAAAAGAAAAAGAAAGAAAGAGAGAGAAAGAAAGAAAATAAGAAGAAGTAACAGAGTCCGCTTACCAGAACACGAATGAAGAGGCTTCGGTCGTACAATGAGCGAAGGGCACACCGAGTAAAGAGAAAGTTTCTCAAAATAATCACAAGTCTCCTTTGAGAGGATCTCGTCAATCATGAAAGTCTTGTAGCGCCGCCTGGCAGCCTTCAGCTGCCCGGGGGAGGAGAGCCTCAACTCGGCTTGACAGTGCATGATCTGTCCCTGTGCGTCGCGCGCTGTCTTCGCTGAACAATAAGTTTGTTCGCTAATATCTAAGGTTCTGCAGGTTGAGCAGTGTGTTAAATGCGACTGCTTGAGTTCATGCGTTTAAATAACTCATTGTTTGTATTTCAAAAATGCAGTTTAGCTTTCCCTGAAGTGTCGTGGTGAAGATCAGTAGCCTTCAACTTGAGCTGCGCAGAGCGCCACACTGGTAATGAGCTGACTGGGATGTGTGCTCACACCCACTGCTATATAAACCATCCCTGAACACATCTCTCTCTCTCTCTCTCTCTCTCTCTCTTTTACAAATACACTCATGTACTATATGGCCACCTCCCAAACACCCCCCCACCACCACCAAAAAACTTTCTTTTTACAGAATTGTAGCTACAACCTTTCAATTCGACTCTCAAAGTTGTATTTTTCGTCAATATCAGCTATTTTCAGAATAAAAACTAATACAATCAATACAAATATATATGCTAAGTGTAGTATTATTATTAAAGTTTCAGATAAAACCAAAAGACCTCTGTAACTATTCTGAGGTACTAACATAGTGCCATTTCTTAGTTACAAACGTCGAGACTTGACGTTGATTTGATTTTAATCATTTGTCTTAATCAGTGTATTACTTCTGCTATTGATAAACCCGTGTCTATTTTTCTTTAATTCATTTAATTTAACCTATTTTATTCTAAGCTTGCTTTAGACATTACACAATCTAATCCATTCGATATTTTAACTTTAGACTCCAACTGAAAAAGCCTGTGCCTTATACCAATATACAGAGTTAAAGCAGCTGGGGTAACGAGTTTGATACTTCGTTCTTATTCTTAAACCCATAGTCGTATCTAAAGGACTGTGTCCTGTGTCGAGAGTAGAAACACCAACTTTGAAGACTTGCGCCAGTTTGTCGGTTTAGGACTAAGAATGATAGATTAAACTGTTTAAATTGTTTTCATATCATATTTTAAAATTGTAGTAGTGTTAGTGGCTTATTAAATATAATAATAATAATAATAATAATAATAATAATAATAATAATAGTAGGGTAATAATAATTAGCCAATAATAATAATACTTAATTGACGAAAACATATAAAATTTCTTGTTGAAATAGTTCATTTCTTGTACAAGAAAAACGCAAAACACAAAAACAAAAATTAGAGGCTCCAGGAGGAAAAAGGAATTAGGCGCAACTGCGGTTAAAGGCCAGTCAGCAATGTCATTTTCTTTACAGATTTGCCAACAAACAAACAGACGCAGTTATAATTTAATAATAATGAACGGGCGCGGGCGCATGGCATGAATTAAGGCACGCCGAATAAAACACATAATTGTCTCACAACATCCCTCAATTAAAAAACCGCGGAATACTGAAAGGGTAAGGCACTTGTCATTCATTTTCACAAGTTGGCACAGTCTAAGTTTGATTTAACGATAAAAAAAAAAAAAAGAATATTATTTGTCAGTCAGATCAAACAGGCTTTATGCATTGTAGATCAGTGTCTGCTGCGGGCTGATGAGTCTGACATTAATGTGAGGAAATACCTCACATACCGGCACCTTCAATTCCCCTCGGACAGGCTGGATCTCTGCACATGCTTTTCCCCTCACCATTTGTTCATTTTCCATCGTTTTATTTTTTTCTATAAATTTGCCTTTTTACGCTGTTTATACTAAGCTATTGCAAAATGATGTTTTATTTATATTGTCTTTTAGATAATGCAGATTTGGGAGATTGGACATTTGTGTGAGAGACTCAGTAGAGGGTGTAATAAAAAGAGCCTGGCACATTTCTCGATTTGAACATTTTTAAGCGAATCATCACTGAGGGAAGCCGGTGCAGGTTAGGGTCGCCAGTAGCCTATAATGTCGGTGTCCTGAGGTGGGGGGGGGCGACTTTCATCGCAAGAATTGGAAATAAAGTGAACTCGCTGGCGGCTGCGGAGCCTCCGGAGCCGCCGCCGTGTTCAAAGAGCGGAGGATTATCAGGAGGAAATATGGGAGCTCTGCATGGGAAAGCTCGGGTTCTTTTCAGAGGTTTGATGACTTGATCAAAGAGGGGCAGATGAACAACTGCTGTGGAGCACATTTTACACTACTTCGGGTGGAGAGAGAAAAAAATAGGGTGTTAAAATGGAGCCTAACCTGTATAATTATAAACTAGAATTTATAAAAAACAAACTTTCCTCTTTGATCTTGATTTTCTGCTCGGTTTTTACTGAACATGTATCCATGTAGCCTCTTTAATGGCATGTATTGCTTTCTACTATATATGGTCATTTTTCACCTCTTAACGGAGGCTTATATTGCATGGAAGGACAAAGACTACAGCCGGTGAAGTCGGACCTACTGTGGCACCCATGAACCCAACAACCTGCCGGGGTGCCAAGACCCGAGGAATCACGGCTGCAGGCATCTTGACACTTGTGGTTTGAGTTGCAGGACTGCGAGAAAGGGAGTGTCTCTCTGGGTGTTTGGAAGTGGATCATTTCAGGAGACACGCTTCTATATAAGTCCACACAGCAGCGGCTACCGAGCGGCCTCTCTAATCCGCCCGCTCCAGGGCTGGAGACGCCAGGCAGATCAACCAATTAAAAGAGTTATGCCACAGCCAGAAGCGTAATAAGGGCCTTCCTAGTACTGACACCGAGCAGAGGATACTCTCTATTAGAGCGATTTGGGAGCATCAGGATGCAATGTGACACGAGGCAGATTACAGGCAAGACACAGAGCTTAGTGCGGTGGGTGCAAATGCACCTCCACATTTGGACACTGGGAGATTTATTGGTGGAGGGGGGGGTTATGGTTGTCGATAGAGCGCCGGGGGGCTGCTGTTAGTGGTATAAGCACTTTCGGAAGGGTAGATTATGACCTCTACACGGACATTAAGGGATCTGATCATCACTTTGTTGTAAGCGAGCCCGAGCAGAAACACCGATGTATCGATGCCGAGAGAATGATCGCAACACGAGATGGGAAGGATCAAAGGGCTGCTAATTCTGGGACGGGACAATGGCGCACTTTATTCTCATCTGTAAGTTGACAGAAACCTGCGCCATTGACTAATTGGTGCTAAGACTCTTCTGATAAAAGAGAAGCAGAGACCGCTGTGTGCAACTCTGGTGAACAATTGATAAACCGAAACATAATTGCATGCTGTAAAGTGAACGGGGTTGGGTGTCAAATCCATGTAAAGACTTGAAAGTATCCTAAATAGAAAGGTCAGATGCAGGAGCTGATCATGTGGCTCAGTTATATTTAACATCTTAATTGGTTCAATGAAAGGATGCGTGTGGCGCCACCTGTAGATTACTTCATAACCCACTGCACAAGCCTATTAGTTACACGTGGGCCATTTATAGGTGCAGATAAGGCCAGTGTGTGCATGCGTAACGGCATGTAGCATCAACATACAATAGCTCACTTAGTTCACTTAGTCACATACACAAAGAGCTCTAAATAGCATTTCTGAAGAGCAGCCAAGACCCAGGCATTTGTGCTGTGGCCAGATGAAAGACGAGGCATCAATCAAATCAAAAGGAGCTTTATAATAATGAAAACGCCCATTTTAAAACAGTTTGTATTACAGACTCAGAATAAAAAAATAAAATAAAGCCCATTTCCATAAAGAGCAAGGTCAACAAATCCTACATTAAGAAAGGATGGTGCCCTGTTCCAGTAAAAGTTGGTGCTGGTGGATTCTTTAGCTGAAAATTTTGTTGTTCTTTTTTGCAAAGTACCTGAAGAATTTCTAAGAGCACCATTTAAAACTATTTGCATATTTCAAAACTGGCCAATATCCAAAATCTTTTTTTTGAAATATGTCCCCCCCCCATCTTTCAAATTGACTAGTCATGTCTTGATATTTTTTTCCCTTGCTCTCATGACAATACAGTTCTTCCCCTCAAAATTTTTGCAACATCTGTGAGGAAAAGCTCACATGAAAGTAGTGTACAAATTTAAAAACGCCTTAAAAGTAAACAAAAATGGCTCTAAGGCATAAGATATTAAATCTCCAAACTGGTAGGATCATGTACAAACAACCTGAGTATACATGTGAATTTGTCAACATAATTCATGATCTTTTTTTTTTTTTTTTCAGAAAGCTGTTCACAAATTTGTGAAGCGTTAAAGTCTTTACAGAAATCCTTTACGTGTCTCAGTACCGTCGCCATCTACTATCTTGGTGGCCTCGGCTGCCCCTATTGTCATGATGCCTGCTGCCGCCTCTGCTGTCATGGTGACGGTTGCCACTCCTGTCGTTCTGATGGTGATAGTTGTCCCGGCTGTGGCCCTGTTGCTGATGACGGCCAGAACTTGGTTCATCTGTGTAGCGCGAATTTCTGCCACCGCTGTTCACCTGTGACGGCGGATGCCGATAGGGGGCGTTATCGTGTTGCCTTGAGCCGCCTCTGCTAAAATTTCCACCAGCAGGCGACTGCCTCTGCAGAGGCTTGGAAAAGCCGCCATTCAACTGGTCAAGCTGCTGCATGTGGAGCTGCCACATCATGTTGTTCATCTGCGGATGAAAGGAAAAGACAGATAACAGGACCTGTGTTTCATACGGTTGACTGAAGTCATGCAGCTTGTTTCTGCTGCTGTTAAATTATACACTGAACACATAATTCGTCATTTGTTGCTGAGGAACAGAGGGACATTCTAAACTAAAAACAAGACAAGAGCCTTATACCTCACATCCTAAATAGACACATTACAATCTGTCATGACTGTGCAGTGCTGGGTCATTAGGAAAGTATTAAAAGGGTTACCATGACATTCTTCTGCAGGTTATCGGGAGATGAAAGCGACCTCTGCATTTGGGGTGGAGGAGTATACGGTGGAGAACTGAACTGGATCGGGGTCCTGTAAGACGAAAGTAAACCATTGTCAAATACTTTCTCGTCATAAAAAGGCAAGAGCAACAAGTCTATGTAATGTCAGGTGCAGAGAGAGAGGGAGCCATTGGGAAAATAAGAGCAAAGCTTCACAAACAGAAAAGCAAAAGCACTAATACATGTGTGAATATTGGTGAAATATGACACGCCTATACTTAAGTGGTTTCAATTTTGATACGTGTGATCCAACCATACAATTATCTTCATAAAAATGTAAAAACATTTCTATAAAAAGAACCTGTGAATACAGGCAGACAAACATGTATTAGCATGTTTTCAAGCATAGCACATCCCTCTATCAAACAAGATGAA